GACGATCCCTTCTACAACCAGTACATGGAGGACGTGATCTTTCAGGGTGGGCATGGCCGTGCCTACGACCCCGATGAGACCCAAAGTCAGGATGGCCACGCCCAATACGTGCCCCATGAAGAGGCCGACGACCGTGCTGACTACGACCATGGTGATTCGTGGAATGAAGACGATGACATCTATGTCGAAGGTGAAGATGAAGATGAAGCCAATGATGTTGATATTAGTGGCGCTCCATTGTTCATAGACGAGCTCACCCAAAGAGCGGAAGCACAAAAGAAGCGGAAGAGCATTCGCACCGGTTCATATACACAAGATGAGGACAAGTTGATTTGCCAATGTTGGATGGAGATTAGCCAAGATCCAAGGACCGGCGCGCAACAAAAGGGCATTGTTTTTTGGACGAGAGTCCACAAAACATTCCATGAAAGGAAGATGTTTGAGCCCTACCAAATTACAAGCAACCGTGGCATCGGTTCGATTCAAAAAAGATGGTTGTTCATCCAACAAGAGTGCAACAAGTATTGTGCCGCACTTGAGAGTGTTGAAGCACGGCCCGTGAGTGGTCTCGGCGTTGGAGACATGGTATGCTCTTCTCTTTCTAGCCCTTGCTACGGCCATAAGACTTCGGCCGTGTATATGTTTGCATGTTCACTTGTTGTTGATCATGTGGTGTAGGCATTTCAATCTTTGGAGGCATTCAAGGCCCAGCACAATGACAAGCCATTCACTCTTACGCATTGTTGGACGATCATCAACAATTGCCCTAAGTTCAAGGATCAATACCGTGAACTTCAAAGGAAGAGAGGCAAGAAGACGGCCAAGTTCGCCGGAGGTGGGGATGGCGAGGCGTTGAAGAGGCCGAGGGGCAAGACCAACTCAAAGGTGGACGACATACGTGACGCCTCATCCATGGCCTTGCATGAGACTTTGCATTGCATGATGTCACATAAGGATGTGAGGGACGAGAAGAAGCGGCAAAGCAAGGACGAGCAAATGAAGCAATACCTAGACCTCCAACGACAGAAGCTTGAGATGGAGGAGGCGGCCAAGAAGAGGAAGATAGACATGGAGGAGGCGGCCCGGCAAAGGCAGCTCGACATGGAAGAGGCCGCCCGGCAAAGGCAGCTCGACATCGAGGCCGACAACGTCAAGGCCAGGCAGAGGCAGCTCGACATCGAGGCCACCAATGCCGCCACCAAAGCGAAGGAGGTGGCCCTTGCGATCATGAGCGTGGACTTGTCGAAGATGAGCGACAAGACGAGGGCCTGATTCGAGGCCAAGCAGAAGGAGATGCTCGACGCCGAAGGCCTGAACTAGGTTGCCCGATCGGCGTGGCCGTTATTTTTGGAGGCTGGCATGGGTGCCGCCCGCCCGCTGGGCCGCTGGCAGTGTGCCGGCGAAAAAACATTTATTTTGGAGGCCGGCTGTGCTGCCGGCCGCTGGCTGTGTTGCCGGTGAGGACAACTATTCATTTTGGAGGCTAGCTGTGTTGCCGGCGATGGTCGTGTAGGCCGCTGGCTTTGTTGCCGGCGTGATGAACTCGGGTCGTGAACTGGAGTTTGGCATTTGAAACGTCCTTTTTTTTTTAAATAGACGCGGACAGGATGGGGCAAAAGGATGCGGCCGCGTGCTGGGCGTACGGCCACCGCATCCCAGGACAGGCCCGGACACAACCCTAAATCCCTACTCAAAAGGACAAAAACCGAATAAAACAGACGTCTGTTTGGGATCGCGCGGTGGAGTTGGCCTCACGGACGGGACGGAGACGGGCAGCGTGCGCGCGTGACTGCTGCCTCCTCTCGCGCAGCGCATCGCATCGAATGCTGCGGGTCGGCTTGCGGCACGAATCTCGCGGGATTGCAACGCTCCAAGAAACGACGTGACAAGGATATCTACCCACAGTACGGTCTAGTTACACTTACACACCTCCTCTGAGCCTCTGACAGATTCATCTCTGCCCTCGTACGGTTTGTGGTCACTGCACGGCTGGGGTCCACTCGTACAGCCAAGATCGAGAATTACTATTCCCTCAAAAAAAAAAAAGATCGAGAATTACTAGTGGGTGGTGTTAAAAGAAAAGAAAAGAAAATTACTAGCAGGAGAAGAAAAACAGAATGAACCAATACGAGGAAGATTACACCCCGCAGAAAGAAAAAGAATAGTACTATGAAAGAAGATTGAGATTGCATTAAAACAGAATGAACCAATACGAGGAAGATTACACCCCGCAGAAAGAAAAAGAATAAGAAAGAAGATTTAGATTGCGTTCGTGACATATATAAATATATAAACGGGACAAAAGAAATGCAATTGCAAGCAAAAAGAAAAAGAAAAAGGATTTGTCAGAAGTGGGGTTCGAACCCACGCCCTCGTAAGAGGACCAGAACTTGAGTCTGGCGCCTTAGACCACTCGGCCATCCTGACTTTTTTGTACTTTATATGTTCACAGGCTATATGTACATACAAGGTGGCTCTTCAGCTGAGCTCAAAGTTTCAACAGAGAGAGACATCACATTATAGATCTTTTCTAGAAGCTCAACTGCAGGATCGGCAGTTGCATATACAAACGATGTAGCATTGTCCAGGACCAGGGCAAACTCGCGTAAACATTGGGAGGCACGCCAACAACGTCATGAACAGTTCCCAGAATAAAGAGCGCAAGACTTGAAAGAAAACAGATTACAGTAAGGAGACATTCCAAAATACTAGTATTGCACACTGATCTGGCAGTTACAGGATGACATTCGTTTGTTCAAAAATTCCGTGACATGATCTACACTTTGTTGTTACAAAATAACATATGAAAACACAGGTTCAAAAGGCGATTCGCAGACACCCGGCTTGAGCAGCGTCGATGGATGGACTGCAACCAATGGATGACTCTCTGCAGATATGAATACATGAATTAGAAGGATGGTCTTTACCAGCAAAACTCTAAAATACACTATGTAAGCAAACAGACTTTTGGCACACCATGTATTTGCACAATTAGTGTTTGTAGATACAGTTCCATGTCCTTTTACTGCCTATGAAACACATACAGTGATTCTCTAAATTCATGTCCTTAATAACACTTAAGAAAACTAACATGCACAGAGTCAAGATAATGACACAGTCTATTTCAAGAATGAAAAATAAGAACAATTTGGTGATACCATAAAAGGGATTCACCTCACCTAGACAAGTTCGATGTAAGCCATAGGTGCATTATCTCCCCGCCTTGGGAATGTCGGGATGATCCTTGTGTAGCCCCCGTTTCTTTCCCCGTACCTGTCTGGAACCTCAGCAAACAGTGCATGGACTATGTGCTTCTCATAAATATACCCCAGGGCCTGCCTCCTCTTGTGAAGAGATCCATCCTTCGCCATCGTGATCATCTTGTCAACCCACTTCCTCATCGCCTTTGCCCTTGGCTTAGTAGTCTTTATCCTCCCGTGCTTCAGCAGCTGTGTGGTCAGCCCACGCAGGAGTGCTTTCCGCTGATCTGCAGGCCTGTTGAGCCTAGGAATGCGCTTCCCGTGCCTCATTGCCAGTATCCTTCCACGGACATCAGTGCCAAACAGTCGGTGCGCAAAGCTTGATTCCACTGCAATATTTTGAGAAAGGTCAGCGAATGAGTTCATTGTGAAATTCATAGGAATTTTTCAAAAAACCATCCTAATCTTATCTTTAGCGTGAATGGCTCAAGACCTTTTAGGCCGATCTGGCATATTTGGCATGTAACAACCGAAGCTTTTAATTTCTCCAGGACATACTTATATTGTTTGAGATTTGTATGGTGTGGTCAATCAGTTAGGTGATATTCGACATACTAAGGAAAACTAGCTTTTAGGCAAATGTAAGGTGATAAGACCATTTTCTATCCATGATAATATTTGTTCGCATAATCAGCAAGATAAACAATTATGCATGGAATGACAAGTTACTTCACCATTCAAAGCTCTTCTGCCCTTCTGATTCCACAAGTCCATATTAAAAACGTTTTCAAAATACAGCTATACCAGTTCATATTAATTATGCTTTCCTTTTTGTTCTGCTCATGACCACAAGGGATAAAATGGCAGCATCACAATTTGAAGCACCCCAATGCATTCAAGCATCATCGCGATTAAACAGATGAAGAAAGTGGAAGGAACAGAGCTATAATACAGTGGGTGCAAATGTAGATGAATCTGTTGATGGCAGAGATGAGAAATGACACATATTTCTTCAAAATAGTTTGCCAACTGGTTCATTGTTAGTATTTCCTATTTGTAACTGCCAACATATGCTCCAGTATATATATGACACTAGCAACGAAATGGGTAATAGGAATATAGGATAAATGCTCTTACAAAACATGAGAGAAATTGTCAATTGTTCAATACATTGTTGAGGATTTAATGAGTTGAGCATCCTTGAACACTGAAACGCAATTCCAAAGCTACAGACCATCTCAAAGGTCATCAGCAATAAATAAATAAATGACGTGCCCCTGATACTACAATATTGGAACCCAGGTGGCCACGGAGAATGAATATGCAGCTTGCCCAGTTCAAGAAATTTCTTGGATTGGCGGCTGGCGAACTTTAGCATTTCTGACACTCGGGTGTCCAAACTGAAACTGCAGCATTTACAGCCACAGTCGGGCTCAAACATAAGGGCCGGAAAACGAGGACATCTCACCGGAGAACGAGGAGGTGTAGGAGAAGGCGAGCGACGCCGAGGCCGCGGAGGACATCGGGGCGGGGGAGACGGAGGACGAGGCGGAGGACGTGGAGACGAAGGAGCTCCGGAGGAACGGGGCGGCGGAGGCCGCCTGCCTGCGAGGCCGGACGGCCGCCGACGGGGAGGGGCGGAGCGCGGGGAGCGCGGCGCGGAGGGAGTCCATGCGCCAGGCCGAGGTGGAGATCGCCGGCGAGGGGGAGGTGGAGGCGAAGGCCGCCATTGGGGAGGGGAAGGAGAGCGAGCGAGCGAGTGGAGGAGGGTGTGGGTTTGGCTGGAGAGGGGTGGCGACGCCGCTCGGCTTTGAAGCGGATAACGTTTGGATTTCTGCTGCCGGTTGGGTTCCGCTGGGCCGGGCTGGGAGGGATGGGCCTAGTCTAGTCTATGGATATGGGCAACTCGAGAATGGGCCCTTGATGACGCCCAAAACGTTGTTTATATTAGAGTAATCCTAGTTGTCTCAAAAAAAATTAGAGTAATCCTAGTTACTAAAAAATAGAGTAATCCTAATTGTCTAAAAAAAATTAGAGTAATCCTAAAAAAATAAAACTGAGAGAGTTATAGTAAAGCACCTTGCATGTTATCACTCGATAATATTCAGACATGGCGAAGTGGAGTGCCCATACAATGATCAAAGATAACAATCCAGGTTACATGCCCATTATTCAATCGATGCAATGATTTATCTCTTATTTGCTAGTGCTTCCGGTGTAACTAAATGTAAAAGGCGCATGTGTTGCCACGAGGGCAATCGTTACTCATGAGGAGGAGCCGGTGCCTTGGCGGGGTGGTTATGGTTTGGGTTTGGTCCGAAAACAGGAAGTGGCCTCCTTGGTGACATGTTGTCGCCTTCCCTCCCCTCCTCCAAAGATGCAGGCGGTGGGGCCTTGCGTCGACGATGCTGGTTGGGTTGAGGCACTGGAGCAGGGTGGTTATGTATGGGGTGTGATCCAAAAGGAACTGGCCTCGGCGCCACGATATCGCCTTCGCACGCCTCCTCTATTGATGCGGGCGGTAGGTCATGACATCGGTGATGATGGTGGGGTTGTGGCGCCGGGGCGGGAAAGTGATGTATAGGGTTCGGACCAGAAGGAACCGGCCTCGGTGCCACCATGACACCTTCCCTCGCCTCCTCCGTTGATGGGGGAGGCCTGTGGGGCGGGGGGGCATGAGGACGATGGTGTATAGGGTCCGGTCCAGAAGGAACTGGCCTCGGTGCCACCATGACGCCTTCCCACGCCTCCTCCATTGTTGGAGAAGCCATATGGGGCGGCGGGGAAGGAATAACCGGCGGTGGATCACCAGTCATGTGGCGCGCGGAAGACGCCGTGAAAAAGAGCATTAGCGACAAGAAGAGCACAAGGAGCGACGGAGTGCTCTCGTGCATGGCAGCCATGGCTATGTACCTTGGCTACTTCTTGCAACCTGTCGCTGTGTTGTGTGCTCACTCTTAGGGAGTGGGCGAATATATAGAGGGCCTCATTTGAGATTAACTGGAGACCAATTAATGAACTAATTAATGACATGCTTATCTCTAGTAAGATAAACATGCAACTAATAAATGGGATGGATGGATATCCGGCATTGTCGGCGGTCAGCAAGAGAAACGCCTTCACTTTACCCAGCATTAGCGGGCAAAGAGACGTAAAATATGTATTGTTACCAAGACGCATTCCACTTTATTATACTTTAACATGCATATATACGTATCAACAAACGAAGGCACGGTGTCTTCACCACCGACGCTTGCTGAAGAAGAAAAGACACTGGTACCCTCATGTGAACTCCCAACTCAGGCAATTATCGCTAGCAAAGGCAAACGAGTTAATTAAATTATCTAGAGTTACAGCCTAGATGTACTCAAACGCTCTTCAGATTTCATCTCTGGATGTTCTCCGGGATAAACAATACTCTCCCACGTCGTTGGTCGTTTGTAATCAGCTATTTTTGCACCAGTGTGTTGGCAACACAACCGACTCAGTACTGATATAGCAGCTCGCTCCATTTTAGACTAGTCACAGTGGGGAGTAACTTAGAGTAGTAACATACATATGTTACTAGTCTATGTTACTACCTCCACAGTGGGTAGTAACATATGTATTGTATCATGCATCACATTATTTATTATGTTGTAGACTCATCTTTTTTTTATATGTGTGATGTTACAGTAATTAGCTATATTACCACATGCCTCTCTTTCTTCATTAATTACATGCCACATCATCTATTTTATCTAGATAAGTGTGATGTTACCATCTATGTTACTCCCACTGTGGGTAGTCTTATGCAAGACTGGAAGAACAAGTTATAGACATGCAAACCACTAGCCTGCTGACACGTCTCACTAGCCGTGAACGCACGTAGGTACCAGCGAAGCCCGACCCCCACGTCGCCCCCGCTCTGGCGACTCGAGCGGTTCCCCAGCCCTAGTCGCCGTCGGGGCCGAATCCACCTTCTCTCACCCCGTCGCCGTCGGAGGACGCCGCCGGGATGCGCCTGGGGGCCGACGGTGGTGGCGGGGATCCTCCTCTCTCCAGCGTCTCAGGTGGTGCGGAGCCCTTGCGCGTGTGGAGGCGCGGCAAATCCGACGGCGCCGACGATGGCTGCAGCGACGGTTGGCCTTGCCACGAGCGACGACAACTGCGGCGCGTCGGGCAACCCAGTCATGGGTGACGGCGGGCGCTGGCTTGCCTGGTTCTGGCGGCGGCGACTTATGCAGCGGTGGCGCGTCATCAGGCTTCGGATCGGCGCCAGCGTGAAGGGCCTGGTGGGCTGCTTGGCGGCACCTCCGGTCAGATCTATTTTGGCCGGTGCAGTCGATGATGGTGGTCATCTCCTCTATCGGAGGTGGTCGGCCTGAGGCTGGGTGGTAGGATCTCGAGATCCGTCATCTAGTCCTGGTTGCGAGTCGGGGAGACATGGTTGCCGGTGAAAACCGAGCCAACACCATCGATGGCGGCGTTCTGCGTCATTACCTTGATGAAGGCATCGTCGAGTAACTACTGTCAACCCACTCCTGCTGCTCCGGGGGAAACCCTAGGATCATGGTGTTCCAGATCGGACGATGGCAGCACTACGGTGTCGTTTCTCTCTTGGGATTGTGGAGCAGCGCTGGAAGGCAAAGGCAGGAGGCGGAGCGGGTTTCATCTTGAACGGAGCTTCAGTGGACATGTTAAGTCATGCATGGCTGACGGGTGCTACGCTTTGTCATGCCTGGTTGGCAGGTGCTACGCACGATAGATCTTCCAGAGTCTCCGCATCAGGATGGACGAGCGTAGGACGATGACATCGTTGGGCACCGTGGTGGCGTCGACAGTTGGTCCGACTGGCAAGGATGATGCAGATCTCTCTCCTAAAGATGGGACAACGGTACGACGATGATGGCGGCTTCTAAAATGTGTACATGTGGTGTACGCTTTAAGTCTGCCGCACCGGTTGTTGGTTCCGATACGTTATGTGGATGAATGGGCGAGGATATCGGTTACAGATATGGGGAGTGAGAGGACTCCGCATTATCAAGTTTGTAGGTGTGAATGATGGCTTCGGGTGGCTTTATGTATGTTTCTATCAGACCTTCATGGAATAATTAATAAAGATAGTCGTATGCATTGATTGATGCAGAGCTCAGGGGTTTAACTGTTGGGGAACGTAACATGCAATTTCAAAAAAAAAAATCGCACCTATCTAGGAGATGCATAGCAACGAGAGGGGGAGAGTGTGTCCACGTACCCTCGTAGAACGAAAGCGGAAGCATTAGGTTAACGCGGTTGATGTAGTCGAACGTCTTCACGATCCAACCGCTCTAGTACCGAACGTACGACACCTCCGAGTTCAGCACACGTTCAGCTCGATGATGTCCCTCGAACTCTTGATCCAGCAGAGGGTCGAGGGAGAGTTCCGTCAACACGATGGCGTGGTGACAGTGATGGTGATGTGATCCGCATAGGGCTTCGCCTAAGCACTACGACGCTATGACCAGAGGAGTAAACTGTGGAGGGGGGCACCGCACACGGCTAAGAGAACAATTGATGTGCTATGGGGTGCCCCATGCCCCCGTATATAAAGGAGGGAATGAGGAGGCGGCCGACTAGGAGGGGCGCGCCATGGGGGGGAGTCCTACCAGGACTCCACTCCTAGTAGGATTCGGCCTCCCCCCTTTTCCTTTCTTCACCGGAGGGGAAAAGGAAGGAGGAGGAGAGGGAGAGGGAAAGGGGGGCGCCGCTCCCTCCCCTAGTCCAATTCGGACTGCCATGGGGGGGCGGCTGAGGGAGTCCTAGATTAAGGGGTCCTCGGGTGTCCGATCTATTGAATATGGGCTGGACTGATGGGCCGTAAGGATACAAAGACCGAAGACTCCACCTGTGTCCGGATAGGACTCTCCTTGGCGTGGAAAGCAAGCTTGGCGACCAACTATGAAGATTCCTTTCTCTGTTACCGACCTTGTGTAACCCTAGATCCCTCCCGTGTCTATATAAACCGGAGGGCTAGGTCCGTAGATAGGCCGAATCCTGAATAATCATAGCTAGGTTAGACTCTTAGGGTTTAGCCATTACGATCTCGTGGTAGATCAACTCTTGTAATACTAATATTCATCAAGATCAATCAAGCAGGACGTAGGGTATTACCTCCATAGAGAGGGCCCGAACCTGAGTAAAACATTGTGTCCCCTGTCTCCTGTTACCATTGATCCTAGACGCACAGTTCGGGACCCCCTACCCGAGATCCGCCGGTTTTGACACCGACATTGGTGCTTTCATTGAGAGTTCCACTATGTTGGGGATCGTAGCAGAAGTTTAAAATTTTCTACGCATCACCAAGATCAATCTATGGAGTAATCTAGCAACGAGGGGAAGGAGAGTGCATCTACATACCCTTGTAGATCGCTAAGCGGAAGCGTTCCAAGAACGCGGATGAAGGAGTCGTACTCGTAGCGATTCAGATCGTGGTTGATTCCGATCTAAGCGCCGAACAACGGCGCCTCCGCGTTCAACACACGTGCAGCCCGGTGACGTCTCCTACGCGTTGATCCAGCAAGGGGAGAAGGAGAGGTTGGGGAAGACTCCGTCCAGCAGCAGCACGGCGACGTGGTGGTGGTGGAGGAGCGCGGAACTCCAGCAGGGCTTCGCCAAGCACTACGAGAGACGAGGAGGGAGAGGGGTAGGGCTGCGCCAACAGAGGAAGAACCTCGTGTGTTGGGCTGCCCCTTTGCCTCCACTATATATAGGGGGAGAGGGAGGGCTGCCCCCCCACCTAGGGTTCCCACCCCAAGGAGTGCGGTAGCCCTAGATCCCATCTAGGGTGGCGGCCACAAGGGGGAGAGGGGGAGGCGCACCTGGGGTGGGCCTTAGGGCCCATCTGCCCTAGGGTTTGCACCCTCCCCTCTAGGAGGCACATTGGGCCTTGGTGGGAGGCGCCCCAGCCCACCTAGGGGCTGGTCCCTTCCCACTATTGGCCCATGTAGGGCTCCGGGGCTGGTGGCCCCACCTGGTGGACCCCCGGACCCCTCCGGTGGTCCCGGTACACTATCGATGATGCCCGGAACACTTCCGGTGGCCAAAACCATACTTCCTATATATCAATCTTTACCTCCGACCATTCCGGAACTCCTCGTGACGTCCGGGGTCTCATCTGGGACTCCGAACAACATTCGGTAACCGCGTACATACTTGCCCTATAACCCTAGCGTCATCGAACCTTAAGTGTGTAGACCCTACGGGTTCGGGAGTCATGCAGACATGGCCGAGACAACTCTCCGGTCAATAACCAATAGCGGGATCTGGATACCCATGTTGGCTCCTACATGTTCCACGATGATCTCATCGGATGAATCAAGATGTCAAGGATTCAATCAATCCCGTATACAATTCCCTTTGTCTATCGGTACGATACTTGCCCGAGATTCGATCGTCGGTATCCCGATACCTTGTTCAATCTCGTTACCGGCAAGTCTCTTTACTCGTTCCATAACACATCATCCCGTGATCAACTCCTTGGTCACATTGTGCACATTATGATGATGTCCTACCGAGTGGGCCCAGAGATACCTCTCTGTTACACGGAGTGACAAATCCCAGTCTCGATTCGTGCCAACCCAACAGACACTTTCAGAGATACCCGTAGTGTACCTTTATACCCACCCAGTTACGTTGTGACATTTGGCACACCCAAAGCACTCCTACGGTATCCGGGAGTTGCACAATCTCATGGTCTAAGGAAATGATACTTGACATTAGAAAAGCTTTAGCATACGAACTACACGATCTTTGTGCTAGGCTTAGGATTGGGTCTTGTCCATCACATCATTCTCCTAATGATGTGATCCCGTTATCAACGACATCCAATGTCCATGGTTAGGGAACCGTAACCATCTATTGATCAACGAGCTAGTCAACTAGA